TGACTGCCACTTGCATGTGCAGGTGTGAGTAACAAAACCAGGAGCCTCAGAGAGCTCCGTTGAATAAATATAACAGGATTTTTAGTGGCTGAAAGTTGAAACTAAGCAAACTTTAATTAAAAAAATAATTTCTTTTAAGCAGTGAGGGTGACAATAGATGTGTTTTCCCTACCTCATTTCATCACTGAATATTTTTTGCTCAAGTCTAAATTATGTATCTTTCTGAAAGGCCATTCTGTATTTCAAACACGAATTTTTTTGAGCTGAATCAGGAGTTGATAGGTGGAAGTCCTATGCCTGCACTGTGCACAAGCAATGTAGCCCCTAGTCCACTTTGGCTGTGAATAACCTTACAGGTAAGGAAATGGGATTCAAAGTGGGGAAAAAGAAAAGAGCAGAAGACTAACTGCTCTGCTATTCATGGTAGTAACTCAGTTTGTCTCCTGGTGGTTTGGGTTTATTTCTTGCTGAAAGCAAGAAGGTTCCAGTAGGTATGCCTTGGTTTTGTGTGGTTTGTGAGCAGGCAAAGCCCATCTCCTTTGCAGGGACCAAGTTGTGAAGGGGGCAATGAGTCTGGGAGTGGAGGTGCTGGATGATGGTTTCCTCTGGAAGGAAGTGAGGAGACAGGAGCAGCTGAAGAACAAATGGGTTCCTATGACAGCATTGCTATTGTATCCCTGTCAGCTGCTTCTGGAGGTCCTCTCCCTTCTTGCTTTCATATATTTATCTACAGGAGTCCATAGAGTTGGTTATTCTTTAAAATCTTGCCCATCTCTGCTTTTCATTGAGGATTTCTTTAAGGATGTTTAAGTTGTACTATAGAAAACTTCCCTTCAGAAGTGGAAGAAATGCCCAAGAGCACAATGCAAAGGTAATGATTTACCAAGAAGAAAGCTTAGCCATAAAATATCATGGCTATGGCAGCTACTTCAGCTATCTCCTAATGTGCACACTTGCTTGGCTGTAAACACAGCACAGTGAATGCAGTTCTGTGATTGCTGCAGAGGAGGCTTTTTGCCCTTCATCTTTATTCCTGAAGAAAAAAAGCTTGATTCTTAGGGTGACTGTCTATACCTACTTTTTTTTTTTTTTGAATGAATCTATCAGAGACTGTTATCCAAAGTTCAGTATAATGTCTGAGTATGCCTAAAGCTTTGTTTCCATGCAGGTAACTAAGGCAGCTATAAAACTGGAGAGGTATGTTCAATCCTGTGGGCTATTCAGCTGAGCCACCATGACTTTTCTTGTGTTTTCTGCCATGCCTCTGTGCTGTCTGTCTCTTTTAAACCCCTCTCCAAGAGCATAACACTTCTCATTGCAGCTTTGGCTGTCTTGACCTTCCCTTGATTTGATCAGACTTACTTTCTCTACTCACTGCTTCAGCATGGCTTCTGTCTCTCAGACTAGATTTCAAGGCATATTTCTTACAGTTGGAGGTAATAATTTTTGTTGGCACAATTACCTAGGTCTTTTTGGGTACTTAACTTAGTTTTAGCATCTGAACATCATGTTTGTTTTGGATTTTGTCCATCGGGAGCATCCATTAATACAAGGAAAGAGTCTGCCAACAGCTTGGTTGGCCAGGAGATCAAATAAAAAATTTGTAGGCAGGGCAGAGATACACCTCAGTGCCTTATCTTAACTTTATTGTCTAGAACTTTGGATTATCTGGAAAATAGCAAGTATGTTACTTCTCCTATTTAATTCATGATTCATTTGGTAAACATACTGACATTCCACTCCCAAACTGAGAATTTTCCTGTTCTGGTGGAATTTTTTCTCATTTAACTATTATTAGATCTTTAAAATATACTAAACTTCTCCTCCCATCCCCCAGTCCCCCACCAGTAATGATCTGTTTCTGTAGTGAGTTTGAATCTGCCTTTAATGGAAGACTCCCAAAATATTTAGTAATGGTTCCCTCCATTCTCCATTCTTGACATAGCTTTTTTAGTTGTGGGGGTTTTTTTCTCCTAGAACAATAGGAGTGAGCAAGTCCATAATGGTGTACAAAAGGGAAAATATCTTCCCTTTAGGAATTTATCCTTGAATTTAATCTCAGTTTACTTGTACTTTGGGGAGCAAAGAGAAGTAATGCTTCATCTGGAGGCTGATTAGTCTTAGTTGTGTGCTGTGGCATTCCTTTTTGTGTTTGCATTGGGATTGCTTGCATATTTTGATTTTAGGTGTGCTGTATCAAATTATATTGACGAAATATCAGTTTCTTGCAAGGATTCTTTATCTTTTTATTGTGCTAAGGAGAGATCAAAGGATTATCAGTTTCAGTTATGAGAAATTAAAGGTGTGAGAATGTGTAATTTAATCACTTACAAGATACTTGCTGGATTAATTAGGGTTTATTCAACCATAGCTAGGCCACATGAATAGCTTCTTGTATGTAGTTTGTCAGCTGCTGAAATCCACAGAACTGCTGACTGGAGCTGATAATTAATAGTTGCTGTGTCGTTATTTGGTCTTCCATGATGTTCTGGAACCTCGAGGATGGCAGGTCTGATTCCTGAATGCTTCTCTGTGTTTACTGACTGTTGACTTCCACTTAGGAGTGTCCACAGAGAGGGTGTGTCTGTAGACAAAAATTTCAAGGAAATTGAAAGCATACCTGTTCTCTTAGTCCATCTCTTTCTCTCTTCCCTAGTGCCTCAGAAAGAAATGTGGACCCTTTGGCTGAAAGGAACTGAGGAGGATTAGCATATCCCACCCCTTTTAAAGCCTGTGGGCAGTAAGCCTACTGGCAAGAGCTTACTCCAGAGCTTTCTTGGACATGTCAGAAGTAAAATTTTCCAATTTGTTTAGTGCTTCCATATAGGTACATAGAGATAAGATATCTGAGAGAGCAATTTCAGTAATGTTTCCCCTTGTGGTACAGCATCTAGTGTATATCAACAACTGCTGGCAAGTCTGATGATCACTCTTGACAGTCATTCTTTAGTATGTTAATATTTCTGCTGCCTCCTTGTTTTGCAGCAGGTTTTAGAATTTCTTTGCTACCCAATCATGTTCCAGATTTCATATAAATTACTACAGAGAAGAGGAAAACTTTACTCAGCCTTTTGGCAACCATCCCAGTTCTGGGCTGTCATTTGCAAGTGATCAGCACAACATATATTGCAGAAGTATAGGCAAATTAATATTATGCAAACTGTTCTTTTCTAGGTGCTCTAAGTTATATTAGAAGCAGGCATGCTTTTTGGTTGGGCCCTGCTGTACGTGTTTTCATTTAGCAAAGATAATGAGCCCTGACTAATGCCATGTATGGTTATTTCTCTTTACATAGACTCATACCAGGTGAACATCATAGGAAGAGCAGAATGGTATAAGTTACCAGCAACTTCTTTAATTTGCAGAGAGTAGCACTGTGTATCAGCTATCCAAGAATGATACTTCTCTCTGAGTAGTGCTCTTGCATAGTTTTTATCCTCCGTGTAGAAGCTGTCCACATAATCTCTCACTTCATTAGTTCCTAGAGACCAACTGACTCTTGTGAGTCTTCTGAATGGTAATTTTCTCCCTCCAGCTTGGGGGCTTGGTCTTAATTTCCAGATCCTGGGGATCATGAACCTAAAGAACAGGTTAGTTACATAATACAGCATCATTTTCAAGTCTTTGAGGTTTGATAATGTCTGTGAAATCTGACTGTCAGGTGACTTTATTTGAGGAAAACCTGAAGTGAGAGTTATTCATAAGTAGTATATCGAAGTTGAAATGAGATAATGTTTAGTGGAGAAAAATGGAATGTGGACTAGCTGTACTTTTTTTTTGTGTAAGAAACAAACTTATTCAACATTTTTGCAGATGATAATTTGGCAGGAGTTTTATCAAAATTTATGTACTGGCAGATGTTCTGAGATTCATGTAAATGTTATAGTCTGATAGCAGTCAATCTATATTAGGCATCTCTTCTTTGATGTGCTGCTTCATGATAAAAAGTCTTCTGTAGGATTTGAGACTTCCTTTTACAAAACTCAGCTTCTTCCTCTGCTGAACAAGATAAGATTTCTCGACTTCTTTTGTTTTCCTTCCCCTTCTCCTCCTTCCTCCTCCTACACTTTGTGTGTGTGAATTTTGATATATGTGCAGTATTTTCTTCATGCCAGCAAGTCTCTGCACTAAGTGCCTGGAGTAGACTGCATTTAACTAGTCAAAGTTTTTTCAGTGTAGTGTTAAAATGGAGGAGCTGAACAGGATGCTAAGCTATTAATCCAGCTTCTTGACAGATGAACTTGACAAATTGATGCAGTACTTAGAGGCATGTCTGCCCTACACTCTTTTCTCTGAGGTTTCCACCTCCACAACAGCATCAGCAGAAGTGTATGCATGATTACCTTCACCAGAAGCTTATGCTGAGAGAGTAGGTCTACAGGGAGATGCCAGACTGTTCTCTGGCAGATGTTTGTTTCCTTCCCTCATGTTCCCCGTGAATGAGTTAGGCTCTGACAGGGAAGCTCATCAGGTTGCTGGCCTAACTGTCACACCAGCAGTGATGGTATGGGTAGGCAATTTATGATTTGCTTTTAGTAAAGCCACTAATCTGAGTTTGATAAAAGAAGTATTTGCAAAAACCTAATCCTTGACTTTTGAGTTCTTGTTTTGAGTGTGCTAATTAGTCCATGGCTTTATGTAATTAATGGTTCACATGCACCATACTTAGGGTGTCAGTGTAAAATAATTACCGTGGATGAGATTGCTTCCTAACACTGCTGCAACAAATAGTTTAATTTCCTGGGGGAGAAACACTTACTACTATGTATTGGTGTCACATTGCTGGAAAGCTGATCAGTTCTTCCAAGTGCTTACTGCACGTAAGGGTTGGTATAGCTGGGAACTAAGATTTGGCAGCCACTCCTAAATCAAGCAAGTGAAGTGCTGAATGCAAACTCATGGCCTATCAGCAGGAGATCAAAGACTTCAGCAAGAAAGTGTGTGGTTGTTGCTCATTTCTTCAGCAATTTCTTCTTTATTTTTGTCTTTATGTGATGTAGGCAAGCAACGCCAATGATCCTTGGTCCAGCTGGAACGCTGGGAAGTCTGGGAACTGGGATGATGGAAATGCCATTGACAGTTGGGCGACGAAACCTGAAAGTGCAGCTGGCCAGAGAAACAGTGCTTCAAATAACTGGGAGGCAGCAGCAGCATTTGGTCATCCACAGGCATATCAAGGACCAGGTGTGCTAATAATGCTCTTAGTTTTGTTTTGCTTTGGTTTTTTAAACAGGTTAGAGTAGCTGGACAGTAGAGGTAAGAATTATTTAATCTTTCATAACTATAGAACATGGCTTATATGAAAACCTAAACAAAACCAGTTTCCTAGTAGCACATTGCCATGTGGGTAATCTAGGTACTTAGAATAATAGGGTATTTTTCAAAATCAGATCCAAAGTAACAGATGCCTCAAACTTGTATGGAAATCTGGCACACCAAAGTCTTGTGCATACATGATCTATTCTCGGGCACGTTGTCCAGCTTGCATAACTGGAACTTTGAAACACCCTTGAATTAGCGCCCTTAGGCCTGTGAAGAAATAGTTCTTAAATCCTTAATTTTGAGAAGTGACTAGCCTTTCAGAAGGCTTCTCCACCTTTTTGTAGTAAAAGCATAAATTAAGAGGATAACCCATAACTGGGGAATACTAACCTGGAGTCTGAATATGGAACACTATTGAATTTGTCTTAACACACCATCATCTCTTCTTGGTATTTTGATTTTCCTTCTCCCTCAATGGAGTTCTCGTGCAGTGCTTTACAGGTTGTATTTAGTGGGCATTGTGGGTGGTAACTGAGTAGAAATTGCAAAATAGAAGGCTGAACTACATATTAATATATTTACCTTCTTGGTTATTTGTATGAGTGATAAAATATCTGGTTCTGCTTTGGAAGATAAATTATTTAACATTCTCCTTTCCCTATCCCCCTGCCCCTCCTGTACTTCAGCAGCTGCTGATGACGATGATTGGGATGATGACTGGGATGACCCAAAATCAACTTCACCACCTTACCTTGGTTACAAGGAGTCTGAGGCATCAGAGGCTGGTGGGGTCCAGCGTGGAAATAGTCGTGCAGCTATGAAGTTACCACTTAACAAGTAATGGAAAATACAGGGGAAATGTGTGTATGTTGAAGAGAATTGGAATTTGTCAAGATGTTTAAATGCGTGACCATTCAACCTCTTTGAAATATACAGTGTAAATATTACAGTTTTGGGGTATAAGATAAGATGGTTTTGTAGTTCAGCATTCTCCCAGTGATCAGAGAACACAAATCCATGAAAGCCTAAAAGTACATGACGAAGCTGTATAATTTTTTGGCAGTATTATGCAGGCAAATGACAAGTTCACAATGTCTGAACTTCTGGACCTCTTGGTCTTTAAAATTTCACTGTCTTTGACACTATTTGTTCTTAGTGAGATTGAAAGGTACGGCTTGTCCATACAGTGAGGTTGATCAGAGATGTTGCCCCAGAGTTCTTGAGCAATTTGAATTGCTAGTGGGGAAAAGTTCTGCTCTCCTATGTTTGTGCATCATCCACGTTGATTCTTGAGCCATAGAAAGTTTTATTTCTAGATAAAAAACCTTACAGTAGCACCAGCTTTGTCAAGGTTATATACTAGCATTATCTCATGTTACAACTTAATATTTGTTTGTTCTAAAACTTCTGTTGCTGTGAGATCTACTGTGTGTTAATTTCTAAGCGGATGAAAGCAGAGTGGTAAAAGATTGTCCAGTAACGGTTCCTTGGGTATGTAACTAAAATCACCTGTGTCTTCATGACTAGTTGCTAATTTTGTTCACTGGTGAGTCTTCTGTCCAGTGTCACAACAGTACCTCTGGATCATTGTGGCATTTACTTGTTGCAAACCCCCCAAAAATACCTTATTTGTCTGTGAAGTAGGTCCTACATTACTCCTTGTGTTTCTGCAAACAGACAGTAAGATGCCAGTCCTTCAAGGGCTAATAATCTTCCTAATTAGAAAGAGGACCACCAGTTGCTTTTCATAAGACTTCAACGAACATTGCAGTGATTTTTGTGTGGCTTCCTTTCTAATTGGTGGATAAATTAAGATAACTCATGTTTATAAGCACTTAATAAATCTGTTGTTTGTCATTCTTTCAGATGATTGACTTTTCATAATTTGCAGTCTCAGGTGTATGAGCATCTCTCTGTGTATTTCCAGAGAGGGTAGGCTACAGGGGAGGGACAGATGTTACTTTGTGGTCTCCTGTTATATTTGCTCTGATGGATTGCAGAGTACAAATAGCCACTTTGCCTTGGAAGAAGGGGTCTGTATTACACAAATAAAAGCTGGATCTTAGTAGCTAAAATTTTTCTGCTTTATTCAGGGCAAATTGTTAGTTCTAAAGTAATTCACTTCAAGTCTTTTCTATACTTGAGAAATACTAAGGGTTTTTTTTCCGATAATGGCAGGTAATTCTGCATATGTCAAAGGAAGGAGAATACGGAATAAACTTATTGTTTCATTTTATTGTTAGATTTCCTGGATTTGCAAAACCTGGGATGGAACAGTATCTGTTGGCAAAGCAGCTAGCAAAACCCAAAGAGAAAATTCCCATAATTGTAAGTTGGGGACATGTCCGTAATTTTTGTGTGTGGGTGGTATGGTTTGAGGTTGGGTTTTTGATTTGTTTGGCTAGGTTTTTAATCCTTCTCACCTTTCCCTTTTTTTCCAATTGAGCTTTTAGCCTCAGGGTTGCTATATGTATTTGGGTCACGAGAAACTGATACTGAACATTAAAATTAGAAATAGAACTGTCATTAGAAATGGTAAATGTGATGGTTCAGCATTACATGTGATCATGAAAATAAACATTTTGGGGGATTAGGAGGAAGAGCAAAGGCATTACACTGTCCATTAGTTATCTATATAGTTACACATCATATGACACTATACATTAGTTATCTAGATAGTTATACATAGAAACTACATTTGTATAGGTTTGCAACATTCCATCCTGATGGTCAGGTCATTGTCTCATCTAAAAATCAAACTCTTCTAGATATGTGCTGTTCTAGTGAAATGTGGTTGAAATAGCCATAGAATTGACCACACCTTTGCTATTTGGGAAAAATTGTGAAGTACAGAAGAAGATTAACTTGTTTGTAGTTAGTCATCTCTGGTTACATGAAATCTGTCTATTTCCAGACTCTGCCTCTCAGTGAAATCAACAGAAACTCAAGTGAAGAAATACTTGTCCTTGTTTGCAGGTGGTACAACATGATATATTTAAAGATAATATTTGCAATTTCTTACAGATTGGTGATTATGGCCCAATGTGGGTGTATCCTACCTCTACATTTGACTGTGTGGTGGCAGATCCCAAAAAAGGTTCTAAAATGTATGGTCTCAAGAGCTACATTGAATATCAGCTGACCTGCACTGTAAGTGTATCTGAAACAGGATCTTTTGTCTCGCGAAGATGTGTTGTTTGTATATATCAATAATAGAGTTTGTGTGACTTGGCAAGAGCATTTTAAGAGTGGTAGTTGACACACGACTTTCCCCGAAAAGCTGCTTTGTTCTTGCATTTCAAGTTCTTCTGTAATAAGGCTCTAAATCATAAATTAAATTTACATTCCGCGTAGTTGCCGTTCTGGTCATGCTTGTTTTATGTCACTGTCTGTAGATGCCTGTCAAAGCTGAGAGTTGTGTTTCTCTTGCAGAACACTAATCGGTCTGTCAACCACAGATATAAGCACTTTGACTGGTTGTATGAGCGGCTCCTGGTTAAATTTGGATTAGCCATTCCAATCCCTTCTCTTCCAGACAAGCAAGTAACAGGTAATTATTCCCCATTGTGAATTCATGGAATGGGAAATAAGGAAATTACTTTTTTTATAAGGTTCAGTTATTCCTTACTGTTTGTTTATCCTGTCATTTTTAAAGAAGTATCAAAAACCTTCCAACCTTTCACCATTCAATGTTTATTATGAGCTGTGATGGCTGATTGATAATCAAATGCCAGTACTAAGAGAATCATTTCAGAACTCAGATTTAATTATCTAGTCCAGTGATTTTTAAAAAAGGTAATTAAAAGCAAACAAAAAAGCCCCCTCCTAGTTACTATATAGAATAGTATTACTGGAGAGAAGACATAACTGCTGTTCCATATTTGCTGATTGTTTGAACAAATGTTTTTGATCGTTTTTTTGGGGGAGGGGAGGGGGCATTGTATTAGGTTTTGTTTGGCTTTCTTTTCTTTTGCATTTGATCATACATATGTTATATTGTACAAGCTTTGAAGCAAAGCTCCCAGAGGAAAGGGACGTCCCCTGACAAACTGGGGCTTTTCGCTCACAAGTAAAATGTTGCAGCTGTTTTTCCTGTTGCTTGATTTCACACTTGATTTAGAAAGCATCTTTCATTCATATAGCATTCTGCTCTGGTTAGATGTCAGTTCAGCTTGACCAAACTCACTGAAGCTTGTGGAAATCTTTTATTCTGACTTCAAGCAAAGTGAGATTGGTCCCTTTAAATGCACATAAGTTCATTCATTGCAATAGAATATGGCAATGCCTACGCATTTTCGGTCGTCTCTGGCTTCCATTCTACAAGGATGTGCTAGAGTCCACATGAAGAAAAGAATAGATACCTGTGTAGGAGGAAAATGCATTACTTTTGGCTATTTCGACTCGTATGTTTTCTGGTAAGATTTTTATACAGCCTTTAAGACAAGTAGCCAAAACCAAACATACAAGAGCCGGCACGTCGCCAACCACGTGGCTGTGGGCATCACTGGAAATGCAGCAACTCTGCTGTGTTTGAAGAAAGCTAAGCATTGATGAAGTTGCTGGGATAAATGCCGAGGGAACTGAAAAGTGAGGAAGTGGCTTCTTCCCCTTTGCCTCGTGTTTAGAATTGACCAGCACTTTTATTTAAACATGTGCATGTGGGCTAAAGGAAACCAGAAGACCTGATGGGATCTCTAGACTTCATTGTAACTATATCTTTAAGGACTCAGGAGTCTGGCATCACAGTTAAACATTGCATGTGGATTTCTGTCTTCAGGAGTCTGAGAGAAAATAATTTGCCTCATTCCAAAAATTAAAAACACCAAACGTGCCTCTGTCTAAAACATTACAGGGAAGCTTTGGAAAAATGGTGCTTAACTTTCACTGTGTTTAGGAAACTTCTTTCTGAAGTCTGTCTAGAAAGGTATTTCTGTCTGTTGGTCTTGATAAAGCAGACTGACTTTGCTCAGGATCTGCTTTGTTTTTGCTGGTGATAATATACTTAATAACCAGCCTGTTACTGTTTTACTGCTTTGCATTTCTTGCAGGAACCTTGTGGAGATTTCTGTATGGGTGTAAAGATGAAACAAAGTATTACTGAAGGATATATAATGTCCCTTCTGTAGTGGTTGATTTATTTTATTATTTCTTTTGCTAATTTGCAGAAAAAGTGCTCATACCCAAACTCCATTTTTCATTGGTTGTGTTGTTTACCTGCTAGTCTTGCTAGTTTCTATATGTGCAAATAAACAAATCTCAAAACCCCAAATCACAAAAAACTCAACCTTGTGGAGCTGCTGCCACAGTTAACTATACAGTAGAATTTTATTGAAAGAGTATGTGTGTTCAAGGCTTGTCATTTGTGCTGCTGTGGCAATCAGAAGAGTTGGGTGCTGGAGGAGTCTCATTCTGTTCAAATACAGCCTATTCATTGGATGCTTTAGAAGTCTGGTGTCATGCATTTTTTAAAATTAGAAAGGGTTCTCTCAAGAAGGCACAGGCTGTGCTAAAACTAAAAGGTTATTGCAAATACACAGTCATGATGCACTACTAGTTGTAAAAAAAAATATTGGTTACTTACTTGGTTTGGGTTAAAAAGCTCTTTACCAAAAAAATCAGTTGCACTGTTACATGTATGTATATATTCTAACCAGTTTATACATATGATTTATTTAGATGATTTTTTCCTCCCAGTTTACCTGTATGGAAATATATTTATAGGAGGTGTTGCTTTTTAAATCTGCAACTCGTATTTGAGCGGTCTAATTTTATGGGGTTTTTAGCAGTCCAATTTCACTGCTTTGTTAGCTAGTACATGGCAGCTTGTAAATTAAGTCGTTCCTTTTTCTCCAGTGTTTGTGAGCCTTATATTGGCCACAAAGTTACTAGACAGTATCAGAAAAATATCTGCATTCTGAGCCTGTGCCTAGCTTCTCTCTTGGGTCATCTGAATACCTAATTTTTCCATCCAAAAATGTATTATTTTTTTTCCCCAGACATGTATTTGAATTGTGTGTGGGTATTGTGGTTTTTTAATATTCCCTGGTAATCTTAAAAAGGAGGAGGACTCTTGGTCAGTAAGCAATAGATTATAATTTAAGGTTCTTCTGATTTCTCAGCATATTTCTTTCTTGTAAGTTCTGAGTTAATAACTTGCGAGATAAATTACTGGTTCTGTTTGAATTTAAACAACAAAAAAATGGAGGGTGCTAGAGTAGAAATGTAACAATTGTTGTTCACTATGTAACAGGGCGCTTTGAAGAAGAATTTATCAAAATGCGCATGGAGAGGCTGCAAGCTTGGATGACAAGAATGTGTCGCCATCCTGTTGTCTCAGAAAGTGAAGTTTTCCAGCAATTTCTCAATTTCCGAGATGAGAAGGTAGGAAATAAAGTTCACACACAGGCTGAGATTGAGGAATTGCTGTCCCCCCACAATCCCCCTTTGAACCAAGGGTTCAGCTCTGTAGCTACCTCATTTCCCTCATACTGACTCTGTGGGCAGTAGTGATGGCCTGGAAACTGCTGCGTTTCCTAACTCAGCTGATTGATCACTGTGAGTCAGAAAGTTGTTCATGTGAAATGTTATACAGCATTCCAGCAGAGTTGTGCTCTTCAAAGTGGCCTTGTTGCCAGTCTTTTAAGGGACAGTTTATGTCCTCCAGCCGAATAGGAACTTAAATATATATGAGTGTGTTGTTATGTATGAACATCTCATTTGGCTGTTGTTCTGCTCCCTCTGCTGCACTCTGATTGGACAGAGACACAATCACTGTGGTCTCCTGATGCTGATTGCTAGCAAAAGCCACTTCATAGCAGATCTGCCTTCTGTTATATTTAAAAATAAACCTGCTGCCCACAAAAGCACGTTTTTTTCACTGAAATGCATTGTAATAGCATCATACTGCAGTCATACCTGATAAAATCAGCCTTTTTTCCTTCCTCCCCTGCACTTTAATATGGTTTTAATATCTTCACCTTCAGTAAATAATGTTTTTTTCACATCTGAGCTCCAGCTCTGTTACTAATTTTGGGAATCTTCTGATGATGAAATAAACAGGAAAACCAGAATTATTTTACGATTCTGTAAGTAGAGGCTTAATAACATAGTAAGTAGTAATCCTAGTGAAGTGCTGTTTGGATGGCTAGTAGAGAATTGTACAATTGTGCTAGCTAGTCAGCAGTTCTTAGTTTCTAACTCATGGATGGCTATCAACAGAACAGATGTTGCAATACACATGGAATTTTTATCCTTTTTATCTGTTCCCACTAAGAATTTAGTATGGTGCTTGCATAATAGTTTTGTGGTCTTCTTGAGCAGCTTTTGATACCAGACTTAGCACATGTGCAGACAGCTGAATATCATTGCTCTTACACTGTATTTCAGTAATATACAAGAAGGGTCTGTTGATGCCATAATCTAGAAAACAAAGTGCAGAAAGGAGGAAGGGGGCGAACTTTGGGAAACTCTTAAGAAACCTTGACTCCACTGAAACTCTGATCTAAAAGGTTTTAATTTATAGGTGGTCTGTCAATTAACATTTCTAAACATTTCATTCACTCCTTAAGTACATGCCCTTAAAGAAGCATGAACAGTGATGGTCAGACTTTGTCTCCTTTTCTTTCTTTAGGAGTGGAAAACTGGAAAGCGGAAGGCAGAAAAAGATGAAACTGTAGGAGTCCTGATCTTTTCTGCGATGGAACCAGAAGCTCCTGACTTGGACATGGTAGAAATGTAAGGTGGTTTCTTTTTGCATGGGCATTATGCATCTGGGTATACAACAGATACTGAGCTAATACAAAACTCGACTAGTAAGCATGCATGTGGATTTGAAAAAGTATCTATCAAGGCAGAGTTGAAAAAATGTTTAAATATGAGATTTTCATATCAACTCCCCCAAAACTTCATGTGATGTTTCTTTGACTTCAGTGGCTGAATAGTGATCCTAAAACAACTTAAACAAAACTCATTGATGGTATAGAGTACTGGCAGATCCTATGGAGTTTTATATTGCCATGGAAGTATATTTTGATCTTTAATCCTTCACCAGTCCCAAAGCGAGTTAGACCTAGCAAGAAGGTTAGGATAACTCCAGACAGATCATCGAGGAAAACAGTGTTTCTGTAAAGTAGTTGTACATAATGCACACACAGTGTGATTCTAATATTTGTAATCCATGGAAAGCTGTTAAAAAGTTATTGAAATTACCAAATTTCATTTTAAATAGGTTGATACAATTTTGGGGATATCATTCTGGAAGTGCAAATGGATATATTTATGTATGTATATGTTATATATACGTACACTTTTTAATGTATAGTTCTATTGGTGATAGACCTTTGGGTTTCGTGGAGTGAAAGACTGGATTTATTCTGCAGCCTTTATTTCAATCCTTTAGGCTTAATTTTTCATAGAAGAGCTGTAGTATGCATGATGTGCTTTGCTTGCTGTCGTAGGACACAAACTTGGATAATGTTTTGTGTCTGCATGGATAAACTAGATAGAAGTGTTTGCAGTAGCAAAGCAGTAGTGTACATACACCAGGAGATATCCCAGCATGGGCTTTATCCAAGTGATGGATACAATAGCTGTGTGGCAGTTCTATACTGGTATAAAACCACAAACATTTTTAGGTCACTTCCGCTTTGAGCATGTGGATTTCAAACTTGACTACTTTTCTTAAGTGATGTGGTTTATATGTATCCATTGGTATAAAAGCTGAAGGTGTGAACAAGAGGGAGGATTTTGTACATAGGGTGGAGGAGAGAGTCTCCTTTATACAGAACCCTGGCAGAGAGCAACCAGCATATGGTCTGCTAAACAATTTGTCCCCAAACAGGGGCAGGGCAGCCAAGCAGCCCATGGGGAATGCTCAGCACAGGGTGAGGGTTTCTGGGCTGGGGCTGGCAGCCTGGAGTCATTCTGGGGAGCTACTTCCAAGCAGGGGTGGCTGTAACATCTCAGGTGTCCACATGTTCCATGGAGTGCCTGGGAGTGCTATTAAGTGTGTATGAGTGCAGTCTTCAAACCCATTACTCCTGTAAGTGGACAAACCAGCTTGTTCAATAATTCTTAAGTTCTTCAGTGCAAAGGTCATCTTCATTGAATCAATTTTGCTAGTACCTTGACAGTCACATCATCCTGGTTTTCATCAAAGGATGGTAACCCTGTACTGGGTCATGAGCTTTCTTTTTCCTATGATCATAATATCATAAAGTATGAAGTCCAGAAAATTAAAGGATATTTTGCTGCTCCGATAATGTGAGTAAAACAAGAACATCTTGGAAAGCCCAGGTGCTTTTTTGTGTGCAAATAACTCTTTGTGTGGAGTTTCCAGCTAAGGAAGGAAGTGGTGGTGGGGAGGTGGGAGGTGGTTGGACTGCAGCTGAAGCTGCTGCCCTGGCTCTGAGGTGCCACTGAGTGTCACTTTGCTGTGAGAGCTGTCTCATGCAGGCTTTGGCTGAGAGCATCTGTAAGATCTGATGCAGTTTAAATAATTCTCTTTGCAAATTATAAAGTCCTTATTTCTTTTTCTTTATATTGTGTAGTGTTCACAGATCATTACTGTGTATGCAGTGCTATGTTAATGGAAAACTTTGATAGCTGCATGAAAACATGCTTAAAGAGGAGCAAAAAGGCACATACTAATTCAGAATTTTCTTTTGAACATCACTGATTTATTTTTTCCCCCTATAACACAGCTCAGCACAATGGTATTGTGAATATAATATGAAATTATTTGTACGTATTTCCCTGGGAGAACTGCTATATTAATTTTTATTCAGCTATACTAGACTTCTCTTAAAGTATCTGGAAGAATTGCTTTCTTCATATTTTTTCATTATTGTATGATATTTACTACTTCTGTTACTCTAACATGTAATTTACTAACAACATGGGGTCCTTATATTTGTGTTAAGGGCTCTGGAGATGAATTTTCCTCAAATCAGATTTTGCTGTTCTGTAATTATTTGATCTCACTGGTAAGCATATTTAGGTAATAGCTTCTGTAGCTTTTAATAGAATTAACAATGCCTGTATCTATAGAGGGGAATTTTGAACTCTGGCAGAGAAAATGAATGAAACGAAATGACAGAGATTTCAAGGAATTGATTTCTTTCTCTGATATTTTTTAAAGACCGAATTGACACTACTAAATGTTTCTGTATTGTGTTTAAAGTTCACATTACGTGTCTATTAAACTGCTTTTTGGTTTTGCTTTTTCAAAACGCCACAGAGAACAGAAATGTGATGCAGTGGGTAGGTTCACCAAAGCAATGGATGATGGAGTGAAAGAGCTGCTGACAGTGGGACAAGAGCACTGGAAGAGGTGTACAGGGCGTAAGTGTCCTTCTGAACTCAGCAGTCACTTCTGTGTTGCTTTTCTCTTTATTTCTGTTACTGTTTGTTGTCTTTAATTCAAGGTACATCTTAACTCTAAAGGGAATCCTAAGTACTTACGAGTGCAGCATCATGGCTGCTTTCAGTGTCTGAGAGTATAAACTGTGCAAATTTTTTGTTGGTATGTTTGATGTGGGGTCTTTGTTAGTTCTTGGTTGGTTGGTTTTCCTTTCTTTATCTCATAAGAGAAGTATCTGGTCCCTGCCCATTGGTTTAAAAGTATTTTAAGTTAAATAATTCTAGTAACGCAGCTAAAGTCCTTGTTGGACCTGTTCTCAGCTATTTGTCGTTTATGTACATTTTAGTGGCATGGGCAAAGTAGACCTGTCTATTAGATGAAATCATAAATAATTGCATCTTATTAACCCCTTACTTAGGATTCTTGCATGCCAGGAGGAGTGATTTAAAGATGAAATGAGTTTAAGAGAAAAAGAAAAGGAAAAACAGCTTGATTCTGACTTAATCTTTAGCCCAATTCTTTTTTTCCTATCTTGTCTCTTCCTTCCCACAGATATTTAGGGTTGCAGAACTTCACACCAAGTCCCTATGACTCTGCCTGGGCTCTAATTTCCTAGTCCACAGCAGTGTTCAGTGTTTGTGGCCACCACAAGGCAGCTATTGAAAGAAGCAGGTACTACAGCTGAGGTTCATAATAAGAAATACTTCAGGGCAGGCTGTAGTGTCTGGCGACCAAAGACCTATCATAAATATCTCCTCAAATCTCCTTAATTTTTTCCTTTTATTTTTCCCCCCCTCCTTTTAACTCCCCCCCCAAAACATTGCCCCCAGACGCTGGAGTAAGTACATCTCCTGAGTTATCTTTTTGCCTCTTTCTAATCTAACACTGCAGTTGAATATCTGGGGCTGACCAGACAGAATGGGAAGTATAGAAGCCCAGTCTCTCATGGCAGTGATTACATGAGACTTTAGTATCTATAGGATATTAACTCTGAATTATTTACTTTTCCCCACTTTGAATGAGATGGTTTCCTTCTACACGTCGCTGACCCTCGTGCTGGTCAGAAATAGTCTAACACGTGACAGAGCTCTAACATGGTACAGATATTGCTTCACTAGGAAATTCTACTGAGGGGAAAGTGGAGAGCAGGGGAAGGAATAAGATTCCTCAGATGAGACTAGAAAAACAACTTTACTTTGCAGTTACAGAAGCAAACCAACTGTAGTTAAGGGCTGGCTGTGACTTGTGCTTACAGTAGAAATTCAGTATTTTTTCAACTGCTAAAATCTTGTGTTGAAAATTTTGCCTTTTAATTTTCCAGACATTCGTACTGAATAGAAAAAAAGAGACTGGTAAACTGAGACGTGCAAAACTGAAGTATCTCTTAGGTTTTAAGTTCCATGTCAGCTCTAGTCTTGACTCTTAATCAGATGTATTTTTGGCACTTGCTGAGCAATAGTTACATGCCTTCTATTCAATGATATTTAAAATAACTGACTGTGGAAACTTCTTAAATGCAAGTGAAAAGAAACCAAGTATTCTTCACTGAAGTTTCCACTGGGGATTCAGTAACAAATTAATGGCTGACAACAGAACTCTAGTACCTTGAATCATACTTCTTGTGTGAGACATACTAGTTGTAAATAATCTAACTTCTGGACAATAGCTTTATCAAAGATAATCAATAAAATTATGCAGTTTGGAGGGCTTGAGTTTTGGGTTTTGTGATGTTTTTTAATACCACACAAAGGGTTTTTTTTTCTGTAAAAATCAGGTTGTGTGGGATGCTAGAGCAGCTAAAAATGTTGTATTTACCTGGACAGTGTAAGCTTTGAATACAAATATTTGATAACAAAACCCATATCTACTTGGGATTTGTTTCTGCTAATACAGGTAGCATATAAAAAAGTGCTTTCACTTTTCAGATTGCTTTCTAGGCCTCTGGAGTGGTGCTATTCAAAGTGTTAATTATGAATGCACTCACTAATCACAGCTGATTGACTTAATTGTGATGAAGCAATTTATGCATGCATGTTCAATAAATAGATTATAAAACCCAAATTTATTATTCAGATACTTGCAACCATTTTTATTCCTAGATAATCTTTCTTTCTGGTGCCTGTAAATATAAAATCAACGATTTGAGGAGAGTTTGGGTATTATAAGCCTGTAAAATAATCTCCTCTCTTAAAATATTAATGAGGTCGGTTCTCCATATCATACTGCAGCACTTCCCCACCATGAGGGGGAGGAAAAAGCCCTCACTGTATGCATAGGAGGACTAAGCTAGGAGTGCAGTAAGATTTTATAAATTTTTTTTTTCTAATAGCATTCACAGTTTCCCCAGCTGTTTGTACCTTTCAAGAATCCAGATTGCAATTGCTTTATCCAGTTTTGGAACATGTGTAGCAGGGGAGGGGGTAAGAATGTGATTTTAAACATTTCACTAGAGAAAACGTAAAACTTTGTTTTTGACATCTGTTTCTATCAAGTTTTGGAAATGCTGCAGTTTTAGTCTCACCCTTATGGGTTTTTTTGTTTCTGTTTCCCCTCTTTCCTCCACTTTCAGCACTACCCAAGGAATACCAGAAGATAGGAAAAGCGTTGCAGAGCTTGGCGCTGGTCTTCAGCACTAGTGGATACCAAGGTACTTCTGAGCTTCGTTTATACTTTACTTAATAAGAGGTATTTTAATTTCAGCATGCTGCATTTTTTCCACGAAGATCTTAATGCTTTCCTCTTTGAGCTTCAGATGTCAAACATATATTCTGGAAAAACTACTGAAAACTTGCTTCCTTGAATATATTATGGGTTTTTTATATTCTAGTCTGCAGTTGTGTTTTCTCTCACTGTATAATCACGTGTCATGTGGCAGGTTAGTGGTGGTGAAGGAGTTTAGCTTGATCTCTTAATATATAATCTGGTTGCTGACTTGACTACCAAAAACATGCTGTAGTATTTTATGTGATATGAAAAGGAAAGGGAAGAAAATGTGGCCTTGAAAATAGCTGTTACAGAACTACTGTGTGATGTGCTTCATGATACAACAATTCTGCTTATTACAGTGTTTTGTAATCCATTGTGTGGGCTGAAGGGTTGGCTACTGTAGCCTTTTCTTGTCCTTCACCTTCACTTCTCCCCCAGGAGCTCTAAACTAGAGCCTGTTGTGTTAGGTATCAAAGTTGTGGGAGGGAAAAAGGAGGGCATCAATTGCTCAAAGTTATCCTAAAAATACAGTCTTTAGGCCAAACATAAAATTCTGCTTTGATATGTTAAACTCTGCTGATGTCTTCCAGATAACTGGAAAATATTTCCTCATATACAGAGGGAGTCTACTGAGTCGATTTTGTCTGGGATTATCCTTTCAAATGTGTCTGGTTGTTTTTGTTTGGGAGTTGTTCTTTTCCTAGACTTGATAGCAAAATTGCTGTTCTAAAACACTGAATGTTATAGCATAGAGGCTTCCTGAAATTTTTCGTCTTGGAACTTTTAGTTGACTGGTACTTACTCTGACTGCTCATTTATCCCTTGCTTTGTACTCTTAAAACATTTTGCCCCATAAACCATATATTAAAGAGCAACCTTCTGAGGCTCAGGGTTTCTGCTGCTGGGAGCACTGGAAATAGGTATAGTCCCCATAGTTTGCTCTCATCTGTGCTCTGTACTTGAAAAGGATGACTGCTGAGTTGGAATTGGAGCATAGCACATTGCCTCAAAAGTAATTTTGGATGTGAGAACAAAGCAGGGGATTTGCATGGTTATGTACTCTTAGCATGGCTAGAACACTGTAAATCCTGGCCAGATAGAATCTGTAGCAAGAATTCTTGAGAAAGGACTGGTGATTGCTGGAACTGTAACATGTTCTTTTGCAAGGGTAAAGGGAAAACAATATGGCTTAAAGCTAGGATACAAAATTGCCAATCAGCCATACAAAGGAAAACTTCAATTTGATTTCCAGCATCTTTGAATGATAGGAAAAAATAGATTCCGTGATGCTTTGCTGTTTGCCCAGCTGTACCTGGTTGCACCCTACTGCTTTGTTGAGGAAAATGCCCTTCCTACAGATGCCTTTGCCCTAATACCACGTATTTCACTCTTTTCAATAACTGGTACACCAGTGTATTTTTTTTTCAAAATCAATCATGTACAGGATTCTTTGCTTTTTATTTTGAGTTTTCAGGAAGAGAGAGCAAATACAATGCACATGTGACTTTAGAAGTTTTCATCATTGCTGCCCTCTGTCCTGCCTACTGTTCATGTACAATTTCACTTGATGGTTTTATCAGGTACAGGTCTGTGGATTTAGCTGAGTCCGTGCAAGAGATGTAAGCACCTAGATTTAAACTGATAGGATGCAGCTTTCCTGATTTCAATATTTAAAAGAGGTCACATTCCTTCAAATACAGAAGTACTAACTAGGCTGAGTATGAGGTATGATTTTTCTGGAGTATCAGTAAAGAGGAGTGGCTCATTCAGCCATACTTAAAGGCACTCAGTTCAGCATCTGTTGTGTGCTGGATCTCTTTGTCCTTGTTTTTGTCTGAAAGTATGAGAAAAATAATTTTTTCTTAAACTGAAATTTGATATCTGCAAACTATACCTTCCCCTTTCTACTCTCTATCTCTACCTCAATTTGCTTTCCATGCTGTTGACTACATGCTTTGGACAAGCTAACAAGGATGAAAAAAGCTTGTGTTGCTTTGGGAAGGTGAAGTGGCATGAAAAATAAAAGAATGTAAGGCTTGTTTCCATCTTTGTCCCACGTAGTCATGTCTTGCTAGTAATACAGTGTTATGAGTGCTTGTGGTGTTGTCTAGCTTAGGATTTGTGGTGATGTCTGTATTGTTAAGTGTAGATTGTAGTGCCCTTTGCTCTGTTTCATATGATGGTGAAAGTTAGAAATTCACTCTGAAAAGTAGTGATTTTTAGAGGGCTTGAAAAATATTAGCTAAGAGTTCCCTAAAGGGTCAGAAAGCTTGTTAGCAAGGAAAAAAGTTATTTGAGCCTCCTTCTGCTTTTCTGATCTTCAAATGGTTATGGTCCAGGACTGTTGGAGAGCTCAGGGCTAGTAGCATCACTGCTCTGTAGGGCATTGTGGAGAATTTACTGCTTATAAGCTATAAAAAGAATTTATTAAAAATCAGAACAGCAGGTGTTCTTCAGCTTTGTTAGTCTATCTTCTAGTGTCACCCTCCTCATTCTTCTTTCTTTTCCGCTCTAGTAGGCTTCCTGTTGTCTCATGTGGGGGAATATCTGTGTATTTAAATTACATAAAATTATGAAATGTGGAGGCAAAGAGTGCTACTACTGTGGTAGAACATTAATTTTCTACAAGATCTTTGGTTTTCCTCCTTGAATATTTTTTCTAAATTCTTTATTACTGCTGCTTTATTATTATAAAAGGCAGGCTAGGCTTTTATTATTGTAAAATAAGCTCTTCTGTAAATTTGCCTTGAATCGAGGGAAGTTTCTTGTTGTAATTGACATACTGTAATTTGAACACTGATGTTTACTTTTAGGAGAATCTGATCTCAATGGAGCAATAACAGAAGCAGGGAAAACCTATGAAGAAATTGCCAGTCTTGTAGCAGATCAGGTAGGAGTGTTATGAATGCATTGCCATAGTGTGTACAAACATACCACCTGTTTGGATCACTTCCGACTTCGGAGTTTTAATTCTGCTAAAACATCACTATCAGTGCTGTAGACCAGTTAAATGAAATTGCTGCTAACACTTTTAAATGCACTTTAATCTTTTGTTCTGCTGTGTGTCAGCATAGGGGGGATGTGATGGGTGGGTGTTGCAGTTGGATCAGAAAGCTCACACTCTGGTTTCCAAAATACTGAAATGATTGTTCCCTCTTTAAATGTGTTTCATTACTGATAGAAAAGAATGATATTTAATGAAGGGGAAGGTTTCTGCCTTCCCTGTGCATTCCCCAAATATCTACAAGATCCAGATCTTGGCTGTATTTTGTTGCTGTGACATGCAGTTGCCTGATTCAAGAAAAATGTAGCTTAAATAAACTTTGATTGGTGTTCAAGTCATAAATTGATCTTTAAGCTTAGTCTCCAAAATGCAGATCATCTTTATCTCAAGGTTGAATCTGAAGGTTCTTAAAATAGCTTTCCAAGTTGACAGCTAAGGAGATCCACCTGTGCATGTGCATATTTGTATATGTAATGATATTATGCTTGTAATGAGGTTGTGTTAGTAATTCCTCTTGAGTGAAAATGTAAGGTAAAACCTCTCAGTTCATAAGCTAGTGTTGAGTAAAAGAAAGAACAGAGGCATCTGCTCACTGATGCTTGAAACCTTACTCTAAAAAACTTACATTTTAATAAAAACCTCACTGTATTTGTCACCCTTTCTTCCCCTTCACCATTTTTTGGCATCATAGTTTGTTTTCTGTGATGTTAATATGTCACAGATACTTTTACTAATGCTTACACTTTGTTTATTAGCCAAAGAAAGATCTTCACTTTTTGATGGAAACAAATCATGAATATAAGGGATTTCTTGGTTGCTTCCCTGACATCATAGCAGCTCATAAGGTATGTGAGGGGCCTTTCTTTTTAAGGGTTGGGCAGTAGGGACACCAAGAAAAGTGGTGGTATGGTACACTGCATTTGTGAATCAGCCTGGCCCCTGCTTCTAGTGACAATGAAAGTTTCTGTGAAACTGGTTGTATTGATTTTTAAAATAAGTACTTAGAGGGGGAGGGAAGCTAGAACTTATCTCAAGATTTGAGAATATCATTACTTTCTGCTATAGCAGTGAAAGGTTCATTATTTTCTTCAGGTTAACTTCATATCTCAATGTGGTGAATAGCAGTAGTGTAAATTTGTAATACTTGAGTCTTACATGGTGGTTGATACAAATATTGTACAAATATTGTAGGAAAACTAGTGTTACTTATATGGCTGACTTACTGATATGTGATAAATAATCATGCACTGCCTAGAAGTTCTTTAATATAAAAAAAACAGAGATTACAGCTAATATTTCTGGGAGGAATAAAAAAACAGATTACAGCTAATATTTCTGGGAGGAAAAAAAAATAAAACACCAGCAGCAAAAAGCATCTGCTTTGCTCTCTGTAATGCAAAGGCCATGGTGTCTAGTTTTGGATATTCTGCCCTTTTTTTGGTCATAGTGTTTTTCTTATGCTCATGGGCCTGTTGTAATGTATTTCAGGAAACTAAAAATTGTGAAGTATTAAACAAGTACACAAGTATCTGGGGTGGTTTTTTATCACTTGAAGTGTGAAATGTATTAAACAAGAACATACTTCTGAGAGCAACAAAGAGATAAGCGTATCAGATGTGTGTATTCTTTCTTCAGGACATTTACAGTACCTCATCCCACAGAATCATTGGGGTAAAGTACCATAAAAGGAGAAGAAATCTTTTTAAAACTTGAAACATAAACCTACTGCCAAGAGATATGTAAATAGATTGTCTTGAATGTTTGGCAGAAATACATTGTGAAGGGGAGGCATATCTTTTTATGCTTGTTTTTATGTGACACAAGGATTTTTCTGAATTGATGGTTATACATTGCAATGAGTTCTCTTGGAAAATAGTTTGTTGTCTTATATTGTATAATGTGCAAATAAAGTTCTACGGGCATTTGGTAGTTTGAAGCTTATGGATGTCAGTTTGTTGGTCAGCTGTATTTTGAAACTTGGTCCTTTTGTATATATCCTTGTGTATTACTGCCTGTACCTAACTCAGTTTGCTAGTGACTCTGTTCATGCCTGTGTTTGAAGTCACTTTTTGCAAGGACTCTTGAAAGGCATAAAGTGAGATTAAAAACTTTGGATGAAAATGTGGGAAGGCAGAATTGGTCATTGTGTGTAGCATGTAAGCTCAAAATGTGACTAGTGGCATTCTAGATTACTATGAAGACCTCTAAGTTGACTCTTAATATTTCTGCATTTGATTTCTACAGGGAGCAATAGAAAGAGTGAAGGAAAGTGATAAACTAGTTGCAACCAGCAAAATAACGCCGCAAGACAAACAGAACATGGTGAAACGTGTGAGCACCATGGCTTATACACTACAAGGTAAACCAAATTTTGAGCTAAATGGTAATGCTGTAGACCTCTGAAGGACATATCTTAAGTGACAAACTTTGAAAGAAAATCTTCGTTCTACCAGGAATAAGAGCAAGGCATGGGTTGTTGGTGTGTTACGGGCTTTTTGTGACCTGCTTAGATTTTCTTAAATTGCAGTTATTTTGCCCTACACCCCTTATTTTTTTTCCCCAGAATCTCACACTGCTATTGCAAAAGAGAGATCTTTTGAAAATGCGATTAAAGAAACTTGCAACAACTAAGTGATAAAGTCTCAAATGAAAAGTATGGAGCCTGGTGCAGGAAGCAGTTCATCATGTGCAGAAGTGTTTTTCTGACTCATGGTTTAGTCAGACATGATCCAATTAAGATTCATGTTCTTGTGGATTATATTTTATTGCCTGGATGTTCTTTGAATGAACCTTTTCCTCTTTAGGTTAGAGGTGTTGTAAATATGAGCTGTAGCACATTGCACTTGAGAAACCAGGGAAATGAGGAGTCAAGGGCTCAGTCCTACAGGATATCAAGCCCTTAAGTGCATTGAAGTGCATCCTGTTACTGACTTCAGTGAGACCACTCATTGCTGAGGGAGTTGCATCTTTTTTTAGCTGACTTAAAGCCAGAAGTACTCAATATTTCACATGATGAAGTCAGAGCAGCACAAAAAATCGATTTGAAAAACATCCAAGAAAGCTTCCCACTCCCTTCTTCCTGATAACAGTGATGCAAGAGGATTGTGCTGTATTCCTGGTGATTGTGGAAGAGACCTCTATGATGGCTTTTACAACCTAGAATATTTCTTCTCCCTCTATTGGTATCTCAAAATATATCTAGCTTTTTCTTTCAGCCACAAGCTGTGATCTGACAAGAGATGTAGAAAGTGGTGAAAGGTGTTATGGATTCAGTGATGCTGGCTGTTAGGTATCTATTGAAACAGCCAGTCAAGAATGGGTCAAACACCACTTGCTGTATCTTTTTTTTTAAAAATAATTATTTTGAGCTAAATATTATTTTGAGCTGAATAAGTTGTGGCTTACAATTTGATATCCATAACCTTGGAAATCAAAGTCCTAGCCAAATTCTGTTAGAAATACTTCAGGAGAGAGCTTTTTTCTCAGTAGGAGAAAATTCTGCTTGTATTTTTTTATCAGATCTTTGTACACCTGAGTATTGTAACAAGAACCTGGCTTTGTCCAGGAAGTATCTGGATGGTGTAATTGACACCCTACCAGTTGTACAAACAGTTCCATCTTGAGCACTGCAGGCAAAGCAGGTTGTAGAAGCCTGAGAACAGTAACTGTGCTGGCAGGGCTGGACACTGAGCTTGTTGCACAGTAACTAACCTGAACTGAGTGAAACTGTTCCTAATTACAAATGCTTCTCTTAAAAAATTTGTCTCTTGGGTCTAATTGCAGCTGAGATGAATCACTTCCACAGTAACAGGATTTATGACTACAACAGTGTCATTCGTCTCTACCTGGAGCAGCAGGCACAGTTCTATGAAACGGTAAGGTACAGCATTCCAGTGCTAGTTTCTTGGCACATGCTGTGCTGCTACTTTTGTAAGAAATACTCACAGTACTTAATCCATCTTTTAGTATGAGCCTCTCCTCTCCTGTAGCACAGATACTTGAAGAATTGTATGAAATATTGTAAAAAAGCTTGTAAAAAAATGAACAAAACCAAAACCCAAAGAATGAGTTAAAATAATACTTTCCTATAGATACTATGCTGTGTTCACGAATGTCATACTAGGCCTATTAGAACTTAAAAACCAGTGTTCAGAAACATTATTGTGGACAGATTGACTTTTTTTTTTTTAATTCTCAATGCCATTACTAGGGTTACAAAGAATTTTAGTTCTGTGATACGCAGTAAGCAAGGCCTGCTGCACTGAATACAACAACAAAATGCTTGAACAAAGCTTTCCTCCCGTAGGATGGGCGTGAGAAGGGAAGCTTCTGTGATTTAAAGCCTCAGTTATATGAGTGTGGGGCAGGGGTAGTTTAGGCAACATTAAATATGTTAACTCTGAGAACTCAACCTACAGCCTTAGTCCTCATTTAACGTTGTTCTTATGTCTGTATTCCTTGTGGTTTTTGAAATTAAACCCAAGAACAAGTTTTCAGATGTGGTATGCTGATAGCACTTGTGAGTTTGAGTGGAACCTGACTGCTGTCACTTAAAGGATAAGTAAGTGGTTGCCCTTCACAGCAATAAAAGTTACTAGTGGTGCTTCAGAGGTATCTTTAGTGGATGACAAGTTCAGGTCCCCCATCAGGTTACTTTGCTTACTTTCTCTGACACATCCGATGGGGGTTAGGCATAGATTTCCCCTTTCCATCTTTCAGTCTCTTGTCTAGTGTATTTTGATTCTGGTTGAAGCCTCACCAGTTTCCTTGTACCAGTCCTTTCTCCCCCAGTACATGTTCACATGTGGGGAGTGTGCAGGGATGTTTCTGCCTTGGTTAAAAAAAAAAAATGTGTTTTGTTCCTGTACCTCTCCTGCATAGTGCAGTGCTAGGTAAGCAAACAGGCAGGATGACAGCTTTGCCTACAATGCATTCTTCAGCACAACCTGAGCACTGAAAGTACAAAATGAACAAGGCAAAGACCATATATATGAGAAGAAATGTCTTTGTAATGGAATGATATGAGAGTCCTACATACACAAAATCTGGAGTAAAACCTGTGCTGTACCTCTCCTGCATAGTGCAGTGCTAGGTAAGCAAACAGGCAGGATGACAGCTTTGCCTACAATGCATTCTTCAGCACAACCTGAGCACTGAAAGTACAAAATGAACAAGGCAAAGACCATATATATGAGAAGAAATGTCTTTGTAATGGAATGATATGAGAGTCCTACATACACAAAATCTGGAGTAAAACCTGTGGTTTTTCATCAGATGAGGGAACAATTGCTTTAATTTCTTAGCCTGCAATCATATTTCTGCACAGCATAAAGTGACTACCTATTAAATATGTTTTGTTTCTCTGTTTCAGATTGCACAGAAGCTGAGGCAGGCACTCAGCCGCTTTCCTGTGATGTAGAGTATAAAGAGTAGTCAACAATAAAGAACAACTCTGAAGTACTTTTCTGATGTGGGGGTAATGCTACTAAAAACTTGTTAGCCTCTGTCACCCAAAAGAAATCCTCAAAAAAGCAGAACCCCAACAAGAAGAATCAGTTGTAGGAAAAAAAGTATTATGTAAAATTTTACTTTATCAGCCTAAGTCATAAGATAAGGTTCTCTTATCTTGAATGCTCTCCCCTTTGTATTATTATTTAAATAAAAACAACTAGATAATGCTGTCAGTTATATGGATCTAAAGTATCAAACTGATATGTTGCCATGGACTTCATGAAGACTTGTGTCCATCAGATGTTCTTCCAAAAACTCTTAACATCAGCGTTACACATTTCTATCTTTTTTTTTCAAGTGGGAAAGACAAATGAGAAAATTACTTAATACTCATTATATTCAATGGAGCTCTCTAGTGATTCAGTAACCAGGAGAAATTATATTCATGTATGTTTCTGGCACATGTTGATGATAATCTCCTGAATTGAATGCTTTGTTCTTAAGTTTTGCTCCCCAAATGCAGCCATGGCATACTGCTCCCATTATGACTTTCGGTGAATATAATTCATTCTTTCCTTTCTTCTTTTTCCTTCTGACTAAATCTTGTACTTGTGGCATACCACCTCAGAGCTTATGTTGGGCTCACTCTTTCTCGCTATGCACTGTGTAAAAAGACAAAGTACAAACAAGGAATGAGCCATTCAGGAAGGTGTGAGAAACAGTTTTCCATCCCAGCACTTTGACACCCCCCTCCATGTTATGCCATAAGGCACTGGTGTTCCTCAGTGCAGTACAGGGCCAGCTTTCCCTCTGAGAGTTTGAAGTGTTTCAGCAGAGGGGACACTGCCACATCTAACCCCAACTAGTAGAAGTCCTCAAATTCCAGTTAAACTCAGGTCTTCTTGTAGTAGTATGGTGTGCTTTTGGATCAAGTTAACTTTTTGTTACCTTCTACTGCAAACTAAAAGTTGACAAAAGTACTGAATAACATCATTAGTTATCACACAAACTCTGTGTTTTGGTCATCGTCTTTTATCAAGTGGCTCAGTGTCCTCTTTTGTACTACTGAAATACCATTTGAGGCCTTGGCTTTTCACAGAGTCTAACCAAAAAAGCCATCACCAACTGTGTTCACAATGGGCACCAACTACAGTAATTAATGTCTTGCCATAGGCAAGCAGGAAAGCCAAAATGCAGTTTTTGCTAAAATGTGCCTAGAAAACAAACATTTTAGAAAAAAAAAGAATTAAAAAGGCATTTTAGCAATAAGCCATTCTAAGTGACGGGTACAGTCTTGCTGGTTCAATAGTTGCCTTACTCTGTTTTGCATTGGTGTTACTTCTGTGTGTTAGAAGGAAAATCTGGGTCTGCCTCAATAACGTGAAACCAAACCAAACAGGACTAAGCCTAAGTCTAGATGCTTTTCAGTGTCACGAGCTTTGTTCACGTTTTATGAACCTTGTCTTTTTCTCCTCCCAGTTTTAGTTGTTTGCTTCCAAAATTCCATAGCGCAGTGTTGTTTGATACAGCCATTTAAATATGTACAAATTGTAAAGAATATGTATAAATGTTTTACACCAAATGTAAGATCTGCTTGCATGTAGAAGCAGCTTATATAATAAATTGTTACGATGTGTACAGTAAATTCTGAAATCACTTTTTCAAGCCAGCATTTTTTTAGCATTTGTATATTCACTTTTTGGTAATGAAATCTCTTTGTAACAGACTCTTAAGTTGGGAGGGGGAAGTGGATTCTTTTTACTGATCTTTAAATAGCTCCATATGCACTAAAGTTGAAGGTTCTTTATCTTGAATAGATTGTTTTGGAATCTTAAGTGTAAGATGTGCATTTCCAGTGCAGGGAAGCTGTGACAGTAGCAACTGTGTCAGATGCAACATTTTTGGGGGAAAAAAAGAAAAAAGAAACTGTTTAAAGACTTCTAGTAAAATGAAGTTAAACTGATAATAAATATTTATGTATATCCACCAGATTATTTTATCTTTTTCTTTGAAATCATCATGTTGTTTTTTAATGGGGTGAATGCAGTATGAGGCTGATCCCCCTTACAGCTTTTCACCAGCCTACACACACTGGGCAGCTGAGGAATGAGAACGCATCCGTGTGTCTTTCCTAAAGCAGGGATCACAACTGGACAGCATAATAGTGCTAGTGATTGCAAACCAGCAAAGGCTACGCATATGTTGTAAGCTTTCATTATTCAGGTCAGTGCAGCTCGTGGCTGATGGAACCCTCCTGACTGCAAATAAGAGTAGAGCACAGTGCTACTGTGTATTCCTGGCTTTGTGTCAGCATGGTGTTGACCCAGAATAGAAATTCGATTGTCTTTGATATTTGTTTCTTCAACATGAATAGGTGCATAGTTAGGTTGGGTGAGTTGGGGGCAACAGAAAATCTGCATGCTGAAGATGCAGCCATAAAACAGGAATAACAAGTTAGCGTAAGACTTGAGCAGTGCCCTCCTGTACTTTGTTTGTCGTAGCTGAATAGTTAGTGTCTGGAGTGTCAAAAAGCCTTAATACTGTTTCCTGACTTATGCTTCCCTTCCAGGGTGAGCCAGACACTGGCATTAGCCCAGTGACTTCATAAAAGACATCAAATGCCTTAGCTGTTGGGTTTAACTTTATACTACAATTGCTTATTCCATTACTGCTACTACATTCAATTTTTAAACAATAAAAATGTAGCTGTACAGAGGGGAATGAGTGCTCCCTATATCTCTTGTTTGCAGTTAATCCTGCGTGGGGTTAGACTGCAGCAGCAGGCTTTGTTGCAATGTATGGTATAGTGTTGGAGGAGTACAGTCTACTGCAAGTCGTAGGACTGTTCTTTAAGGAGGCCTTATCTTTGCATAAGTACTGAATTTTCTACACTACTGAGCAATTTCTGTTTTCTGTTACAAGGTAGTTGAGAAAGTATTACCATAACATACAGTTTACTTTGTAAACCATAATAATGTACATCAATTTTACTGCTACCAAAATTAGTCTAGTTCAATCTGTTAGAAGAATAATTCAGACTAACAGCCTTGTAAAGAGAGAGGTGCATCTCTGTGCTGTGGCTTAGTTTGGCATACACCAGACACTGTCAGTCTGGACTGGCCAAAATTACTCCCTTCACAGCTTTGTGGTGTGCAGGGGTCCTACAACAATCAAAGCATTTGCTAGGCAAGTGTCCTGCTCCTGCTGCTTGTGCCTGACTTAGTGCTGCACATTGGGACATGTGACCAGGAAGAGGACAGTTAGTTTTGTGTTGGGGTCTTTGGTCAGTTGTTTTTTTCCACTCTACATACTTTACATATTTTTCTATAACTGCTCTGATAAAATTAATGCAAATAACTGATATAATAACAAACAAGTACAGAAGAGGAGACATAATTACTTGAGCAAAAGCCCCTTTTTTCTGTCTAAAGAATCCCTAACAAAAACATCATAGAATTAGAAGTATATGGACTGGCTGCTGTCCAATCTACCCATCCTGTAGCGTGGCAGTATCAGTTATACCCACGCTATTCTAAAGAACGTCCGAGTCACAAATGCACAAACTTGGATTAGCTGTTTTTTCCCTTTTTTTTTTTTTTTTTTTTTTGTTTACCCCTGTGGCTCTGCACATGAATTGTGACTCTGGGATCTTTGCTGTATCTTTTGGATACTGAATTTAAACTGATTTAATTTCCTTGTTTTATGAAGGTAAGAAATGTATTTGCCTGTTTTTCATCTTCTGGCCTTTTAAGATTTCCTAATTGGTCAGATTTTCTTAAACTGTTTCTTTGCCTTCCTTTAGATTCCAGCTAGC